CTGACAAAAGAACTTAACTTGTTTAATGCCGAATCTGTACCCTCATTTGTTTACATAGACCGGGGGGGTACTCCCTTAAATAAGCTATATAGGTATGTGCCGCACCTTCAGGTAAGGTTTTTGCACCGTTTTGGTCTGAAAACGGGTATACACTGTGCCCATTTTGGTCTGGAATTGGGAACTATGGGAATGTATGAAAAATTAATCGTTTCCATTTCAAGTGAGTAAGAAAGAAAGAGAAATATGCGAATTCGAAATGGATTTGAAGAACTGTTTTGTTTGCGCTCTAAACTAAGTAATGATAACCACATAATTTCTGCCTAAAGGCCAGAGGTCTGAAAACGGGTATGGATTTTAGAGGTCTGGTATGAAAACGGTTGTGGAAAATTACATTTTTTGGTCTGAAATAGGTTCAGGATTTGGAGAACCGGGCGGCAGACTCCTACCAAGAATTCCCAGAAGTAACCCTCCCCCCGGGATTAGGTAATTGCATTCCTACGCTCCACCTACAGAACCGTTAGCGCTAATTAATTGGCTACTAAGACAAAAGGAAAACACAACCATGTATGAGTAACTTTACTAGAAGGACGCCCAAAGTCAAAGACTACATGATAATTAGGCAATGAATCTATTGGTGATGATGATATATTTTAACTCAAAGCATCAAGATCCCAAACGTTTTAAACAAAAGAGATTATTTATTTTGTCTCAAAAATAGAGAAGTGGAAGCCACATCGTTTTGCGCGTTTTTCAACAGCAGTTCAAGAGTCATAAAAAGTTAACGTACGATTCCATTGTCACCAAACGCATAAAAGAAATACAATGGAGATTGATGTATTTTCTTTCGGTTTTGTGGTGTAATCTGTTGATGATAATTCACTATAAGTTAAAGAGAGATTGATCTTGTTTTTGCAAATGCAAAGATAATATACAGTAAGGAGCAACATTGACCAGGCTGGAAATATAAATAACATTTGAACCTTTTTGCAGGTATAAGGTATATCATGTTAATATGCTACAGTGAATCATAAAAGTTTTGGCCGCCTTTCCTATTAAGGAACGTTAATTCTGTGCATTAAAATACAAATGTTATTGTATTGCTGCTCTCCAACGACAAAACCATTAGCGTCCATAAGTCGTTTAATTAGCTCCTTTGCATTTTGATTTCCCATTGGTCTCATTGGATTATTTGCCCCAGTGTTATGATTGGCCAAAAAGATTTAACATTTACGAGAAGTTCCAACTGATCAATGAAACGTACTGGAACGTGTCAAGCATTTTAAAGAAGCGAGTCTTCGCATACGCATCTTCCTTCCGAAGTTTGATCATGTAAGTTAAATGTTGATTTGGGGAGATATTTTGCTGTTTTTTTCTTTTTTACTCTCTGATCCACTGTGAAATTAATGTATTTCTTTATTTAAGTTTCTCAAAGTTTAAAATTCTCCGCCTTGGAGCCATTCTTTGAAAGGTTACTCCCAGTTCAAACGTCGAACTTTTCATGTACCGAACTTAATAGCTATTTGGGTCGACCCAAATGCCAACTCAGTTCATTTTTATGATGTAAAATAGTCTACAATGTTTACCAATAAAAAAAATTACAGTAATTTATGCATTAGGTTCGGCGCTTGAAAAGTTCGACGTTTCAAACCATGTCGCTCCTCAGTCGAAATTCCAATGTGGGCCACTCGAACTCAGTTCAAGAGTAGACCCAAATAAGATATGTCGGACTTAATCGATTCAAATGCCGATTTTTTCATTTACATAATTGAAGGGATCAGAGACGGTACATGAAAAGTTCGACGTTTGAACTAGGCCTATCAATAGCCGAATTTAAACTAGAGACGAATTGTCTGTTTAGGACGAACAAGAACGCTCTCATTAGCGTTGAGTCTCGCTTGCTTGTAGATAAGTTTTGTTGTCAAAGGCTCTTGTGCTGTTATGCTATTTTCTCGTTTGGAATACAAAACGAGTGTCATATGTCATAATGTAAAAATCAAAACGTAAAAATTGCAGGGAGAGATAGGCCGCACGTCTTAGCTTCTCACCCGGATGAAACCTTTGAAAACCGTTTGCATATTGAAATTGCTCCAGTAAGGAGAACTCTTTAAGGGAATTTACACTCAAAAAATTGAACTATGATTTTTATCAGTTTAAATATATATAGCTTCTCTGTCGCGGATATATCTCCGTGCAGTTGATGTTTACGCGATCTCAGAGTACAACGTTTAGAGCTGTACACAGCGTGCATTTCACAGTAGACCTGCACCGTTTTAAACCTCTTATTTTATTGGTGCCCTTTAATCTGCACCTCCATTGTTTTCAGGGATAGGGGCATTGTTATGTGATAATCCTCATTGTTTTTCCAGCTAATCACAAACAATCTTTCAATTAGGTGCGGGGTCGCCCGCATTTTATCACAGTATCACTGGGATAAAAGCGTTTCATTTTGATAACTCTAACTTAACTATTAAATCTCTTACCCAGATCTCTTGTTGACGAAGCAAAAGGCGAGATCTGGTCAAATCCGATTTGTACACGTGATCGCCTGTCAGGAATGTGACAGGCGATGAAAGAGCGCACCCTCGAAATAAATCTTTAGTTTCAGAAGCGTTAAACAACGAATGTGATAGAGCCATGAATTAAGTTGTCTCTAACAAAACATGGTTATACGCATATCCTACGTATAAACAAACTGAATTGCGGTTGTTTTTCTTCATAACTTCAAATTCCAAGCGACAGCTAGTTAGTTTAAATTTTATTATCATAGCTCGCGCTAAAAAAGCTCACTTCTAGGCGAGAATTAGTTTTACCCTTTTCAAAGGTCTTAATTTTGATACCGAGAGAGAGTTAACTGAAGACTTTGCAAAGCATGAAATGCAAACGCTATAGCGCTCGCAGGAGACAACACTCACGTCACTCGGTTACAATCTGTTAAAGCCAATCACAAAAATTGCATTTTCTTACTAGACCAGATCTCGCCTTCTACTTCGTAAACAAGAGTTCTGGGGACGAGATTATTAACTATTTGATATGGAATATTACATGTAAATTATTTGTTATTTATGAGTAAATAACTGACATCCTTATTTAAGAAATACTTCAAGATTGTCTTAATTTAAAAATTTCGTTAACATTTGATTTCAGACTTCCATTCCTTTTTGTTCACCATGAGAATTGTCTCCGTTGTCACGTTTGCAAGTTTGGTTGTAATGGGGTTGTCACAGCTTCTAGCGCCATGTAAGTGAAATAAAAACATGTTATATGAGAAACAGTTTACTTGTACTTCTAATTGGCCAATAAGTGAAATTTTTACTTAGGTGGCGGGGATGGTGCCGGGATGACTTCAATGGTCCAGGTCCCACACACACACACCCCTCCTCAAAAGGCGGGCGGGGCTAGTTTAGCAAACATCAAGAATTTATTTGGTCAGCCACAAGTTTAAGCAGTAAAGTCTTCACGTTATCATTTTTCAAAAACACCGTAAATGCTCTAATTAGTTACTGGTTTAAACTCTCCAAGTGTTTAAATATACACAGTTATACGCATCGTACAACTTCATATATATGGGGTAAACGAGTGTCTTTTGGTCAGAACTTTTAAAATAGTTGTTCCACAGAATGTCTCTAATAACACGTAACAAACGCGCGAGCTACCAGAGTGCCTCCTTGGGATTTCGCCTCCTGAAGGGGCGGGGGGTAAAGGGTACTTCCTTATGAGGGGCTAACGGGGATGTGGCACTGTATGCGGTCGCATTTTCAGGACTTGATTGACTATAATGGAGTCTCACTTTCAATAGAGTTACTAGTATGGGGTCGCACATTTTCGGATTCTTTGGGGTAAGACAGTTTTTCACATTTACGGCTAGCAAACGTACCATTCATTCAATCTAAAAAATGGGTCAATTCATAAAAATAATATATAGATTTAGCCAGGGCTAAAAGCGAAGCTCTGGTTAATAATACGTGTAAACAAAAAAAGTTAAATCGTATAATGCTAAACGGGGAACGACAATGAAAATGGCTTCAAGATTAATAGATCTAATTAGCAAAAAAACAAATTGCACGTGCCGCACACTTTTTTTCCTAATTAGCAAAAAACAAATTTGCACGTGCAGCACGCTTTTTTGTCTTTCCCTTGCGGTTGTTTTGCACGACTACAACGCTGTTTTGTACGACTAAAACGTCAAACTTCCCAGTTACAGACTATTTTTATGGAGAAATTGTCGTATGTGCTTACCCAATATTTTGTTTCCAGTGTTCATGTTCGCTTTTATTTTTCACTGCCGCTCATTTTCACCTTGCTGGCCGCTAGCATTTCTCATTTTCTCACCGCCGCTTTGAATTTCCATGTTTTTCTTCCTACGAATTTTCAATAACTCGCTCTAGTCCTTCCCCTGTTATCCACGTTAGTGTACACATAAAAAATAACAGCGAAAAAGACACGACTTTTTTCTTTCTAAAAGTCCGGGCGACCATGTGATTTTCTTCCAAATAAAACCGTGAGTTGCATTTGGGTTCCCATACCTGTTGATTGAGTTATTTTACATTGGTATGCCTGTGGTGCGGATGGACGGTCGCTCGCTCGATCGCTCGCTCGGTGTACGGTCACGTGATTACCAAATTTTCTGGGATGGGTAGATTACCACATTTCCTTAGCTATGGGGCTCCGCCCACGCGCGCGCTTCGCGCGCTGGTGGAGCTCCGCTAGAAAGTGACTAAGTTAGGATAGCGAATCTTACATATTTGCCCAAAACGGAATAAGATAGGGTCTATAATTGACCACAGAATAGACTTTAATGGGGTAGGGCCTCTGAGAGGCCAGCGGCACATACCCAGCAAAAATTGACCCAAGTAACGTCCCTTCCACCTTCCCAGGGTTCTTCGCAGGTAGAAGGATCTAAAGATTTCTTCTGATCTACTATGTTTTTGCATGTAACTTATACAAGGATGAAGAAAAACGTTTTACTTTTAACTGACTGCTGTTTCCACTTCTTTTTAGCCGAGGAGAAGAAGAAACTATGTGCAGCTATAAGCTTTCACATTCCCGTGTTTCCATGTCAAACGAATAGCCCTGATAGATGCGTGTCTTATGGCTGCTGCTTTGATTACGATCTTGGTTATTGCTTTAACGCCCCAGGTATTTCTTTACACTCAGTTATTTGTTATATACGATAACAATGGTCGAGTAGTGGTTACACGTTCGGTGGTATTGTGTATAATTACCGGATGAGGTTGAGTAGGATGTGAAGAATTATGCAGATCGAGGGGGATGTTATCCACCGAGGCTGAAGGCCGAAGTGGATAATATCCTCTGAGATCTGCACAATTCAATACATCGTATCACAGCCTAATTCAATAATTGTTTTATTATTCATTCAAAATATTCTTAAGTTCTTAAGTTCATGATTACCTCTTCGTAAACTTTCTTCAAAACCTTGACTTATTTCTTGCACGGTTAAAGCATATAAACAGATGATTTATCTTGCAGATACTCCTCAAAAAGTAGATAACATCCATCGAGCAACATGCTTTGCATATCTTTCATTTCTTCCATTCAGTTTAAGTCAGAAATTTAGCTATTTCGTGTTCTAACATCAGTTTACGCTATTTTTTTAATTACTATTGCTAGAGCAGCCTCGTTTCCAATCCAATATATATCATCTAATCGATGGCCCGCATCGCCTTGCTTCCACTATCAACTGAAAAAGAGACTGAATGGCTCAAAATGACAGCCGGACAACGGACAAATCGTGTTATGTTCAACATTTTTAAGGTCAGAGGAGAGAACTGACCGAGCTATAGTTTCTTTGGCCGGTCAACATGCAACAGTCCCAAATTTATGAACTCAGCGTCAGATTCTATTTGCCGCCCACCCCGACTGAAGGGTTGATTTTTTTTTTTGGATAATCCAGTCAATGTCGATCCATGATTTTTGCAGATTCAAAAGAAAGCGTCTGAATGGGGTATAGTGTTTAGTGTTATTTGCTCATAATTTTAGTGTTTACTGTTAATTTGGCCAAAGTTTTTAATGTTCACTGTTTCTGGAGAAAATACTGTCAAGTGTTTGGAGGGTTTTCGTGAAAAACAAAAACCCATAGTCTTTTGGCATTGTCAACTCTTGTCTGCTCTTGAAAACTTTTTCGGACAACGACCGAAAACTCCTTGATATACCAAAAAAAATAATATTGGCTTTTTTGGAACCACCATTCTGGAAAAAAATTTTACTGCTACGGTGAATGTTTTACTATTAGGGTTAAAATGCCAAAAACTTAACTGTTTTATGTTGCTTTTTCTACGAAAAATAGCCCAACGTTGGGAGTGAAATGTGAAAACATAAACTTCAGAAAATCTTACGAAATTTATCAGACAAGCTTCGAAAATTGTACATGAATGGAACGGGCATCATTTTTAGCCGTCCTTAACCAATAGAAATTTGTAGGCCATTTTCGCTTTTCCGAACAGATATTTTACAGAAAACAGTTGTTGGATGAACCCTACCAAGCCACCTCATTAACATCATCATCATCATCATCATCATCATCATCATCATCATCAGCTTGGCTTTTTGTAAAAGTCCCTGAAAAACGACGGCACAATTTCCTTAGCTTTGAGACCCTGAGTACTGTCTGTTGCGGCCTCAAATTTGGAAATTATTTTGACCTTACAATTGACCCAGGTGCCTAGATATCGGATGAAGAATTATTTAAAATTATACTTGTTGTCACAACTTTATTGCTACAAAATTTAATTTATTTTATCTTACTTTGACTTCATGTAGATAACGTGTGTGACGTAAACAAGTACGACAGCAACAGAAGGAACTGTGGATGGAAAGGAATCACCAAGACGGAATGTGAAAACAGAGGATGCTGCTTTGATGATGCGATTTACAGGAATCACATACCGACTTACGACTGTCATTATCGGCTGTAAGTTTATTCTTTTGTTTATTTTGTGAATATATAAGCTCACCGATAAACCTCATAAGGGGATGAGGAAGTTTCTTACAGACATTTGCCAACAAACAGCTACTTAAAATGCAAGAAAGTTTAGAAAAGGTAACGTATCTGATTTCGATTTTGCCAGCGTGACAGGTTTTCGGGGAATTTTGCTGTGATGCAAATAAAACTCGCAAAAAAGGTATTTTATGTGATCTCTTATGAAAATGAGAGTTTTTGGAATTGGCAAACGGGTTGTTAGATCTTATTTAGAGAAGAATGGTTATGAAACCCAGCCCGTCAGACACCTTTGTTACATGTTCTTTTTGTGGACTTGACGGTGGTCAAAGCTCAATGGCATTCCTATCATTTTTATCTTTCTGTTAGCTAATAGTTATTATTAAAAACTGAGTCATTGAAAAATGCAATTCTAGAGTTCTGATTGGCTTAGCCATCATGGTATATGAGCCATTATACCATGTTCTCGAGATATGATAACTGTACGCGTCTGCTCAAAATTAAAAACAAGCCTGAAATCGGTTGTTTTTACTAATAAAGTCAGGAAGAATTCTTCATATTTTGTGGGCCCTTCTAATAACACAATTATTCCACTCGACCTTGTTGGATATGAGATAATTATAGCCAACGAGGCGCGTAGCTATCCAACGCGAACTCGTGGAATAATTAGCAATTAATTAATGAGGCTGAGTAGGATATGAAGAATTAAAGGGACTGTGACACGCTTCTGCGCATGTGCGACAACTTGATTTCTTTCCGGCGGACAGTTTTTCAAGATTGGCGTTTTGGTGAAGAAATCCTCTTCCATCGACCCTGAGACGCTCGAGAAAGCCATAATATCAGTATTCAAGAGCTATTTGGTCCATTTGGGAAGTTTTAAACGCTATATTTTGTATTTTTGTGCAAGTATTGTCGAGAAAATTCAAAGTCATTGAGGATAACCGTACGAAGCCATGTTCGTTGTTGTCAGTGTTCATACAAACAGATCAAATGTGGCCTTTAATGTGGTCATCTGGCTTTCATTTCTGTCTATTAATGTTCTCCAGTCAACGATCTNCAATGGCATTCCTATCATTTTTATCTTTCTGTTAGCTAATAGTTATTATTAAAAACTGAGTCATTGAAAAATGCAATTCTAGAGTTCTGATTGGCTTAGCCATCATGGTATATGAGCCATTATACCATGTTCTCGAGATATGATAACTGTACGCGTCTGCTCAAAATTAAAAACAAGCCTGAAATCGGTTGTTTTTACTAATAAAGTCAGGAAGAATTCTTCATATTTTGTGGGCCCTTCTAATAACACAATTATTCCACTCGACCTTGTTGGATATGAGATAATTATAGCCAACGAGGCGCGTAGCTATCCAACGCGAACTCGTGGAATAATTAGCAATTAATTAATGAGGCTGAGTAGGATATGAAGAATTAAAGGGACTGTGACACGCTTCTGCGCATGTGCGACAACTTGATTTCTTTCCGGCGGACAGTTTTTCAAGATTGGCGTTTTGGTGAAGAAATCCTCTTCCATCGACCCTGAGACGCTCGAGAAAGCCATAATATCAGTATTCAAGAGCTATTTGGTCCATTTGGGAAGTTTTAAACGCTATATTTTGTATTTTTGTGCAAGTATTGTCGAGAAAATTCAAAGTCATTGAGGATAACCGTACGAAGCCATGTTCGTTGTTGTCAGTGTTCATACAAACAGATCAAATGTGGCCTTTAATGTGGTCATCTGGCTTTCATTTCTGTCTATTAATGTTCTCCAGTCAACGATCTACCTTTGACGGATATTCTTTAAACGATAAATTTGTAAAGAGAGTTAAAAACGGTTTCCTCGATACAGCCGTGGACCGCTAATAGGACGCAGCTGCGAGTGAAGCTGATCTGCGACATGACTGCAACAATTTAATTTATCGAGTGCCTGGAAACAGAAGGAGAAAACCCAGCAATCTTTTGTTGTGCAGGAAGTCGTGTGAGGTTTGAGGAAACAATCCATAGAACATGAAACGTTTTAACAGGCATTTGATTTATGACTCCGATCCGTAGAACGTATAGCAGAAAGTACTAACAACAGGCCGCGCGATCTTTACTGATGTAGTTTACTCGGAATGTTCCTTGTATCTCTTCTGTATGAACGTAGATGTTTAAGAATTGATCTTTTAAAAATAAATTGTTGCCTGAATGTTCCGTTTAACATCTGGTTTCTTTATGTGTTGAATCGATAATGTTTGTTTTGCGGAACACCCGACGCAACGACTCGGAAGGAATTTTTTTATGCCATAGTGATGGGCTCCTGTTTATGCCTTTTCTTGCGTTGTTCTTTTAGAATAATCTTTATACTTATACGTTATGTGGCTACTATTACAATGAAAGCGTTTTACGATGAAGCGCTAAGAATTGCTTTCAAACACTGCTACGATTTTCAGCTGGTATCAATCGACTGAGCTTCAGTTGGCACAGTGTTCATCGCGCTAGCATATTTTATTTTAGCGCGCATTTAGCTGGCATTTTAAGCAAATCGTTTGCCTCATCCTATACTGTGTGTTTTGATCACCGGTCAGGAGCTATTTGCAGGTATTTCTAAGTTTAAATAGGGTAAACAGAGAGATCAGTAAGGTTTGTTTACAAATTATTTTTGTTTGCGGATCGGAGACTGGTTCTCTAGCGTGGGTACGTAAAAATACACTTATAGGTAAATGTTTGTTTCAAAGTAGGACAGGGTTGTTAATCTTATTATTATCAGCTGCAACATTTATCTGAGGAATACCAGAGAATAAATATGAATTATGGGGATATATAAAATCGAATAAAAGCGTCCGGAAGACTCCCGCTTCGCGAACAATGAATCTTGAATTATGTAAATTTCCTCGCGTGCATCTTACTCGCTTCCGATTGGTTCAAAGACATCCAGCTACTGTCACAGCTCACACATGCGCACTATCGTGACACAGTCCCTTTAACCAGATCGAGGAGGGTGTTATTCACCGAAGCCGAAGACCGAGGTTTATAACACCCTCCGAGATCTGCTCAATTCTTCATATCCTACGAAAGCCGAATTCACTAATTGCTTTATTATTCATTCAAAATAATTGTTAGTTTAAAAACATTACTAAAACATGCTTACCTGCATAAATGTTTAGTTCATCTTCGATAGTGTACCTTTAGGTTTGTCCAGCTCCGCAAATATTCTGCAAATAGCAGATGTCGCCCTCCGAGTTGTCTTCTTGCTGTTTTTGCTATTATTACGCCTAGTTACAGCTGTAGTTTTTACTCTTGAAATGAGTGAAGTGTCCGCCATTTTTATCTTCACAACCAAAACAACTAAACCTCGTTCCCACGATGCCTTAACCTGTAAGAACGCTGCATTTTTTACGTCATTTCTTCGTTAAAGTCAAACTTCTTCCAACTTTGGTCATCAGTAACTGGTTATGGTGAATTATGCGTGTGCTTTTAGCCAATCAGAATTGGGGAAATATTTGAAATGAATAATAATTATTAATTAACGTCGCATTGAATCGTTCCTTAACAATTTGTGAACAACCAAGCAAAGGATTGTACACCATCAAGGAGCTCCCAATATCTTTGATGTTTGCTTCCTTTGATTAATTTCATTACCTGTCTCCGCTACTAACTGTGATTTAAAGTTTAATTGAATTTAGAAATATGGATTATAATTTGGTATTAACAAGGAAAGGAAAAAGTAAGCTTGTCTTAGTATTTAAAAAACGAGGATTGTTAGTTAGTTAGTTAGTTAGTTTGTTTGTTTGTTTGTTTGTTTTTTTTTGTGGTAACACGACACAAGTCGTGTGTGAAATGAAACTGTCTTGTTGATAAAAGAAGACGAGTTTTCAAGGTCGACGAAGGAGTTAGATTATAACAAAGTGGAGTTGGATGTGAGAGATGGTTTATTGCGTTACTATTAAATACTTAAACGCGTGATACGTTATGATTGTTAGGGACATGCCGAAATGCATAGTTTCTGAAAGAGAAAATTGTGGATATGGAGGAATAACCGATCGAGAATGTGTGAAGGAATTGGGCTGTTGCTGGGATTCCTCAGTTCGCGATGTTCCCTGGTGCTTCCACGGAAGGTAAGCTCGCTACATTTACGGTATAGGGGTTGCTTAGAGTTTTACTTAACAACGAGTAACTTTGTTAATATACCAATTGTGAAAATTAATTCATACTTGTCTACGACTGAGGCTTGCGGCTATAAAACAAAAAAAATGTATAATTATCCATTGATAAGCCTCAAAATGATTTCTTTTGTTTTATTCCTCTAAGCCTCAGAGCCAAGCAAGAATTTTTATAAATCGAAATTGGTCTACTGTCTCAACATTTTTACTGCAGTTGCCCTGCGAGTAGAGCCTAATTTTGTCGTCTTCTTGATCGAGAAGGAGAGAAGGAGGTTGTGTCTGAATCGATTCATGCCTTGGAAGTGCGAGCATTCGTTTACTGAAAAACCGACGGTCATAACAGAGCCCGCTGTACCTGCACTGTACTGCAGCACTATTAATCCTGTTTTCGAAACTGTATTCCAGCAACATGCAACGCATACTCAACAAAGACCTCAATCGATTCATGCAGTCTTTGTCGAGAACGCCAAAACAAGCAAGCAAAAGAAAGGCTCTGCTTACAGATTGCATTACAGTGAGTGCTTCACTTTCACCTAACAAAACCGATTTCATTTTTCTTTTTTTCCTTATCCTATCCTAAAATGTCTTAGTTACCGTAAAATTCCGAAAATAAGCCCCTCCATGTATAAGCCCCTCCAAATATAAGCCCCCCAAACTCGTAACGCAAAAAACCCTCCGTTAAATCGCACCTCCAAATATAAGCCCCCGGGGAGCTTATACTTGGAAATTGCCCTTAAATAAAAAGAAAAATAAAGAAAAAACGGTAAATTTCCTTCCAACTGTAAGGCTAGCCCAATCGATTTTGAAACGCAAATTTCCCTCCTTAGATAAGCCCCTCCGAATATAAGCCCCTCCAATAATAAGCCCCTCAAAAAAGGCCTTTGAAAAATATAAGCCCCGGGGCTTATTTTCGGAATTTTACGGTATTCGGTCATTTACTTTATTTTTATCGATAAATTGAGATAGATCATTATTAGTATGTGTAATCAAATGGTGACGAGTGAAATTAGCGAATAATTTCACGAGTATACCATTTGATTACCTATTAATAACATAGGTGACGAAATACGTTAGCAATCTTGGATTTTTGACATGTTTATCCTGGATCGTATCGATCGAGAACTCCACTCTCTCGAACGTTAAGAGCTTAAATTTGGCTTAAGTTTAGAATTTTTCGACAAAATACCTGTTAGAATCCTTCTTGATGTGCTCTATCGCGTGTTCAGGTTTTGTAAAGCGTATTTTTATGCCCTGGCATCTTCATTCATGACATTTTAAAACTTCGTCGCCATCTTGACACTGAGACGTACGGAAGGTTGCCATGGCAATTTTGTAATTTCACTGTGAAATTACAAATTATCGCTGAAATTTCGCGCCAAAATTAAGAAGTAATTCGTCACCTATGATATTATGATGGAAAATACCCACCTTTTACTTCTTTCAAGTCAATTAAAAAAAAGGGAAAAAACAAACACATATTCTTTGAGGTGAGAGTATTAGATGATTATAATAACTCTAAATGTTCTAAAGCGTTATACGCTAGATACTTCAAGTATGAATTTGATAAACGCTTTCTTTATTAGGGACAAAATCGGTCGATGCACAGTGTCTGAACGAACAAATTGTGGATTTAAAGAAATTACCGAAAAACAGTGTGTAAAGGATAGAGGCTGTTGCTGGGACTCCTCAAAACGCGGTGTTGCCTGGTGTTTTTATGGAAAGTAAGTTTACAACTCCTCGGTATTGTTTATCTGGCTGTTTACTTCTTTGAAAGCGACATTGAGAACTCAAGGTTGTGCAATTCTGTAAATTAAATCTTGGTATTTCCTTCCCAAACCTTCAAACTGAATTTTGTTGCCATAATATCATCAACATTTTACCTATGTTTTACTGTTACTTGTGACCTTAACTTTTTATTGATCGTGACGTTCTGAGCACTTAAACTACTAAGACGTCAACTGTGCTGTTATGTGGAAATTCTAGCCATTTTTTTAATGTTAATGTGTTTTTGTTTGCAAATTTTAAACTGTTCTCATGAAAGTTTATAGGTTTCTCGATTAAAGTTATGTTTGTATATTTTCTTAATTCAAAGTTTCGTTTCTGAGTGACTCATCAGTCTTTGTATTATGATAATCGTCGCTTTTTATCTTTTTACAGGGATCAAATCTGACATTCAGACGCAACTTCGTTGCCGTGCAATTCTTCATCGAATCTCTTGCGAAGTTATAAACTTTTTTTAGAACTGTGGTGCATGAATGTATGAAATCATTTTAGTGGGTTAATACACGATAATTGGTAATCATGCAATAAAACTAAAAGTGTGCAAATTGTCTTTGTGTCTCTTTTCTTTAGATGGGTTCTCAGCATACTCGACTGATAGTCACTGTTTTATGGGTAGATGATGTCATCACTGCATGATACTTAAGCGATAGGTCACCCTGACTTCCTGCAGTTGTTAACCGACGTTATTTCCAAAATTTATTTATTCATTATAGTTATTATTATTATTATTATCATTATTATTATTATTATTATTATTATTATTATTATTATTATTATTATTATTTATTTTTTAATGTAAATTGCAACTTTACTCACCAAGCATTAAGGACTCGTTTCAATGTGTCCGTGCGTTCTAGATTTACTTTCTATTTGGATTTTGGGAATGTTTTTTTTTTCAAGGGGAAAAGAATTACCGGAGCACCAGGAGAAAACATCTCGGAGAATGGCAGAGAAAACTTGAATCACATATCGCGTCCACTCCGGGACCTCGAACACTTTAAAAGAGGCAAGTGCTCTAACCACTGGGCTCACCCCAGGGGTGAGGGGTAACTCCAAGAAGTTTCTGATAGTTGTGCGCCAAAGTCTTAAATCTTAACTAATTTTGGAAAGGCAATAAACTTACATTAATTGTCTCACCGCATCTAATTTTGTCATTAGGTCATTAGTGTGTCGCATGACTGTATCGTAGGCTAAGGTGCGTCCAGCGGTTTTAGTGAAAACAAGGGTTTGTGGAGGTTGCTCGGTCTCACAAAACCTCCAGTTAGGTCGATCTTATTTTGTATTTGCCAACTTATTGAGATGACGTGATTTTTTTGAAGTTCTCTGCTGATCTGAGTTATAGGATTCAAGTAATTTCAGGCTCAGAAAACGTTACCTTAAAAACGATGCCACGAGAGCTACGCTGTTGGCCTTGCCATGCTTGAAAAAATCTTTAAACTAGAAATACACTTTTTTCACCACTTTGCGAATCTGTAAAAGGCCCGCAACATGAACAAAGAGAACCAAGCCAATTAAGTAGGTAAAAAATATGTCATGCTCGAATAGAAACAAAAACAAAACAAGGCCGTCAAAAAAGGGAAAAACAAAAGAAATTAAAATCGGCACGACCGAGAACCGATTTTGGCCAATTTACCAGCAAACACTAAATATTATGGGCAAATAACACTAAACATGAAACCCCATTCAGACCCTCTGTTATCTGTACTCTTCGTCCAGTATACAATCAACTCCCTTTATACCCAATATCGGACGCTGTAAGAACCTCTCATTAGCGAGAGTCGGTAATAGTGGGACTCTATTTCAGTCAAACGTCTGCAACATTTTTTTGCCTGGGATTTAGCTGTTGTTCGTATTTCGGGGTGTGATAATAAGGCAACAGTTGACCGTAACAAGTTTATAGGATCTAATGTTTTCTCTACTTTTACTGTGGAAAAAAAAAAAGAAAACGGAATAGTGTGAGCGGCTACGTTTAATTAAGGATTGTTTTGGTCACTGACTTATGAGTTTTCTTAAGTTTGGTAAATTATTATTGTGGCTGCAGCGACACTGCAGGAAAAGAATTTAATAGTTTAAACTGAAAAAGATCTACCCTTATTTGACTGTGAGGGTCTCATTTCTGCATCATTGAAGGCTTAAGTTCTTAAACCGGCGCTACACTGATTAATTTGAAATGCAAAAATTACTTTTATTGAGATCTAACTAGAATAATGTGTTGTTAAAAACAATGAGAGCGATCAGGTCTCGGCATGTTTTTAATGTTTTGTCTCTCTTAATCTCACCAATATTGGTATTGGTATTGGTAATATCTCTGTTTTATAATAATTCTGTTTTGTAGGGAACTTGTAGAGACCTTCAAAATAATTTTTAATTTTAATTACCTTGTTTTCTATTGTCTCCAGTTTGTGCGCTTTCAGATTGCAAGAAAATACGTCTTAAGTCAGTGATTGAATAATAAACTTGTAGACGAAATGCTGACAAAAGAACTTAACTTGTTTCAAGTATAATCTGTACCCTCATTTGTTTACATAGGTCGGTGGGGGGGGGGGGGGGGGGGGGGGTTACTCCCTTAAATAAGCT